CCCCCTTTTGTAGAGAAAAATATTTTCAAGACCCCCCCCAACCCCCCTCTTTTTTTTTTTTTTTTTTTTGTAAAGTCTCTTATGCTCACCAAGGCTTCAATTATTTATTAAAAATACAGTAAACACTGTAATATTGTGAAATATTGTCCATTTAAAATATCTATTTGAATGTTTTAACATATAGGCTACTGTATTCCTGTGATCAAAGCTGAATTTTCAGCATCATTACTCCAGTCTTCGGTGTCACATGGTCCTTCAGAAATCATCCTAATATGCTGATTTGCTGCTCAGTAACCATTTCTGATTATTTTAATGCTGAAAAAAGTTGTGCTGCCCAATATTTTTGAGGAAACTATTTTTTCACGTTTCTCTTATAAATATTTGAATTTGTCCTTTGTGTCAGAGCGCTGGAGTTCGAAATAGATCGGGACATCAGGTTACTGTCATGGATTTGTCGCGTTGCGCCGCATCCACAGCAGAGAACATCACTATTTGTTCTATTTGCTTTTGTCACGTCGCGCCGCTCGCGTCTGGTGTAGACACGTTGTTTGGGTATTTGTGAATCTTAAGTATATTCAATCTGCTTTACGTTTACCTGGCACTGGAAGTCCTTTCACAAACGTGTAATTTACATGCATAGAGCAGAACCATAAATCGTTCATTTATATTTCTACATGGCTCCCTGCAATACAACTCTGATTCTTCAATCGCGCCATCTAGTGGTCTGTTATTGATACAACCACAACTGCTACAACTGATAACGGGGCGCTCAAGCGGGTACCGCGAGTCCTGTTGAGGTAGATAAAATGTCAAATGAATATTTTGCATTCAATTATTTACTTATCAGGCAAGTGGCCGCATGATAAGCGGGTAAATTACGCAGTGTAAGTCGCTTTGGATAAAAGCGTCTGCTAAATGACTAAATAAATAAAATTAATAAAGTCTTTATCACCCTGCAGAGGTTTCTTTTGCAAAATAATCTGCTGACTGTACACTATCCCTCAGCCTTGCCACGCCCCCCAGTTTGGGAACCACTGGTATAAAGGATTCATGCAACCTTTCCTTTACAGCCTTTTGTCAATCTTAGCAAACATTAGAAACTATGAAATATCCATGTATAAATTTAACGTTTATAAATCCACCCAGATTATGTGATTTAATATGTGTGGTATCAGCTGTTCCTACTTTTTTTTTTTTTGTAAAATCAGAATAAAATTTAGTATGTTATTGGAATGTTACTGGCAAATCATGATTTGTTCATGAAAACCTATATGGCCTATATATGGTTAGTGAATGTGCAATACAAATGAACTGATTGATACCAACTACCTTTGCGACTAGGGTATTATATCAGATTTCTACATATATTAGCACTCTTATGAATTTAGAGCATACGCATAGCCACTTTAATTCCCAAAAGATTTGACCATTTTGTTTTGGATGTGTTGTGATTTTTGAAATTACATCCCGAATCAAAAATGTATTCTATTCATGGGGTGGCTAAAAATTTCCAGCCCTAAATTGTAGGCCATCATTTTCTTTTAATTGTTAATAAATATCTGAACAGAAAGTTTCTGAGCTCTCTCCTTTTGGATCTTAATGTTGTTAACTCTTTAAAGCAGGGCCATTATGAGAACATTAATGTGTATCTAATATTTTTATTAGGGATGCACTGATACCACTTTTTCCAGTACTCGCCCGATACCGATACTTTTATTTTTGGTACTTGCCGATACCGAGTACCGATACCAATATTTTCATTGCATTTGTAAATTTTTAAAATATTGGGTACAGAAACCAAAAGAGTATGTATAATGTTAGTTGGTTAACTTCATTTATCAAATAGATACAGTCAAACCAAAATTTATTCAGACACCTTCAACATTTCTCACATGATCACAGTTTATTCGCTATAGTTTAGAAAATGGTAATAAAATATGACAAGAACTCAGAGTTAAACTGTGTCAGAAAAAATTCAGCTTGATAATGTCAGATAACTTTGACAGAAAGGTATGTAATGGATTACAATAAACCAAAAATTATTCATACAGCTGTCAATATATACACAACTAT